CCGGGGGGGGGGGGGGGGGGGGGCAGAAACAGGGAGGCTAAACATGGCAGAGCTGGACAGCAGCACTGAAGACAGCACTAAGCCCTGCCCTTTAGGAACAGATACTGGGCCCAGCACGGTGGCTCACACCTATAATCCCAGCACTTTGGGAGGCCAAGGTGAGAGGATTGCCTGAGCCCACAAGTTCAAGATCAGGCTGGGCAACTTGCCGAAACCTCATCTCTACAATAAATCAAAAAATTAGCCCAGCGTGGTGGCATGCGCCTGTGGTTCCAGTTATTTGGAAGGCTGAGGCAGAAGGATCACATGAGCCCAGCAGGTCAAGGCTGCGGTGGTCGTGAGTGTGCCACTGCACTCCAGCCTGGGTAACAGAGTGAGACTCCAACAACGACAAAAAAGGCAACCCCTTCGGGTCCCCTCCCACTGTGGGAGCCTTTGTCCTCTCAATAAATCCTGCTTTCTAAAAAAAGAAAGAAAATAGCCAAGTACTCCATTTCCCAGAGTGAGCAGAGTAAACTTCTCTCTTTCCCAGGCCCTCCCACTCACCTAGGTCCCTTACCTTGGACTTTAGAGCAGTAACTGAATGTGTTGTTGCTCTGGATTATGGCTAGTTAACCCTAAAGCTTCAGAGCCAACACAGATTTTTCTGTCCACCCCAAAACAATCCCACTGGGTCTAGTCTAGCTGGGAACAGTAAGGTTGCCCCCAAACCCACTCTTGTGAAATGAACCACAAGGAAAAAAAAATAAAGACTGCTTTTTCTTGTCCACTGCAGTTGGCTCTAGCTTATTCATAAAGATGATTTCTTTCTCAACATTTTAAACAGGAAAAGTAGATAAGGAAGGAACAATGCCCTCTCGCAAGCAGCAACACAGCTGGCTCCCTGTCAATGCCCAGGTCTACGGTTGATGGCTGACCCGCAGATGGCCTCTGCCTCATCCTCCCAACCACCCTTTACATCTGGGGCCATTCACTCAGCTGGATTTGATCCCATGGGGAAATGAAAACTGCACTTATCCTCTGGCTCCCTGATGGCAGCTACTGCTTAGCTGCTATTTAGGATTATCTAGAAAACCCCGAGACATCCAGGGGAGCAGGATGAGACATCCAGGGGAGAGGGATGAGACAGGTTATTTGAAGCACTGTTTTTACATATTCAAAGAAGTCAATGTATCACCTGCCCACTAAGTACGCTTTTTGTCTGTTTGTTCCCCTTCCCTGCTAGGACAACCCCCTCCATGCTCACAGCTATGGATCCCGCACAAAGCACTTCCCCTCTCATTTTGCCTTAATCCAGGGCTCAGGCAAATAGGATGTGACCAAACCTCACTTGGGCCGTAATGCTGCAAACTGATGTACATTTTAAGCCCAAAGGGTTGAGAGTAAGTAGCATGATGAGCGTGGTTGCTTTGGATTAACCCACAGGACCACCTCGTCCCTAAGCATAAACATCTCTGTGTGCACAGTTGGCACGCTACAGCTGCTGCATAAGCACCAATCCTGCCCAGCAAAGCCTGGTCTGTCTGCTGTTGTGTCTGCTGTGGTAGCTTTCAAGAGACTGAAGAGTTAGGTTATCTATTCTTGACTTGACTCCAGTTTCTTTGGTCTCTACTCTCAGGATAAGATTAATACAGATTAATCTTTTTTTTTTTTGAGTTGGAGTCTCACTCTGTAGCCCAGACTGGAGTGCAGTGGCACACTCACGGCCACTGCAGCCTCGTCCTGCAGGGCGCAGGCGATCCTTCCACCTCAGCCTTCCAAGTAGCCGGAACTACAGGCATGTACCACCACGCCCAGCTAATTTTTTGATTTATTGTAGAGACGAGATCTCACCAAATTGCCCAGGCTGGTCTTGAACCCGCAGGCTCAGGCAATCCTCGTACCTCAGCCTACCAAAGTGCTGGGATTTTAGGCTTGAGCCACTGCGCCTGGGCTTAAGGTCCTATTTTTCAAGAGGAGCCTATACCAGACTCAAAAAAAGCAGCAGTACTATCAGTCAAGCTTGTTGCTGGCACAGAGTGATGTCCCTCATCACACTCCAAAGACCTAGGACACACACAGGCATGTGAGGTCCCACACCCTTTTTTTTTTTTTGAGTCGAAGTCTCACTTTGTTACCTGGCTGGAGTACAGTGACATGGTCACCTCGACTTATTGGGCTCAGGTGATCCTTCTACCTCAGCCTTCCAAGTACCTGTAACTACAGGCGTGTACCACCACACCCAGCTAATTTTTTGATTTATTGTAGAGACGAGGTCTCGCCATGTTACCCAGGATGGTCTTGAACCTTTGGGATCAGGCAATCCTCCCACCTCTGCCTCCCAAAGTGCTAGGATTACAGGCTTGAGCCACCACACCCAGCAACATACCCTTCTCCTGACAACTTGGATAGAGCTAAGAAAGAAGGAAGGGGCAGGCTGGTTTGCTCTACACAGGTTCAGACCCTAGTACGTCCAGCTTCCCAATACTGGGCTGGAAAGAACAGTCACCATCTCCAGGAGCTACTAGAAATTGGGGCACCAAGTTTTATAGGTGAATTTCCCAAATGCATCAACATGCTCATGACCCCTGCCTCCCCCACACTTCCTGGGGTCCCACCAGGATGCAGCTGATAATTAGGAACACAATCAAAGGCTGAGGGATGAATTATTTCTTTGGATTTATATTCTTCTATAAAATACAAATGCTGATTCATCAGTGAGTCAATGTCTGAGAAAAGGTCCTCTTAAGTGGTATTATATCAACACTATTCTTCCCAAGTTTAGATTTCCTGGAAGTCCCATCACTCACAAGTAAGCTCGCCTTCTACTTCTGCCACTGGAAGGCTGGTCTATTCCCAGCCTCAAACAGGGGAAAGCACAGAATCCACCACAATTTTTCCAACACCCTGAGAGTGTTTTATTTCAAACTCTGATCCCTGCCCTGTCATTACAAAGAAAATGCTGCTGGTTTGCTTGCACAGTCCCTGCTGTGGAGAACACTGGTATCAGATGTTCTCTGACACACACAGCCTTCATACTAGATCAGAAGATGGACATATAATACAAAAAAGTAGAGGGCCCATGGCTGTGCCTACCAGCCACCTGCCCAGGCCCAGCCATCAGCCACGGCAGTTGAGGATGAGACTGCTGAAAAGATCCAAGCAGACAGAAGAGAAGGAAGGCGCTCCCTTTCAACAGCATGATGGCGATGGTGACTTCGCAGCATCCAGCAGCTGATTGGCCACGCTTCACCCCAGGAGTCATTTCTTTTGTCAGACCGGCTGAGGCTGATGGGGCTCTCCTTGTGCCTCTTCATAGTCTTCCCACGGCTTCAGCTGGGGGCCAGGGATCATCACCGTCTGAAGAGGAAGAAGCTGAGCTACCCACCAGCCAAGCCCAGGCTAACCCCGAAGAGCCTGCAGGCAGTGACCTCCCTCCCACCAGCTCCCCAGTCACCTTCCCTGGTGTTGCATCATTCCCTCCCTCCACTAGGTGGAGCCCAATAGGGCACCCTAGGGTGCCACAACTCCCACAACTCCCAACTGCCTCAGCTCCCTTCAACCTCGCAGACTGCCTTACCTTAAGGATGGGCTGCTTAGGGGGTGCCCATGAGGGGACGATCTTGCCATGCAGTCTCCAGCTCCCATAGGGGTTCGTCAGGTGCCTTTCAAACACAACATACTCCAAGACATCCTTGGGCACATCTTCCTGTCCATACATCAATCGGCCAAACCGGTCGTAGATGGCCAGAGTCTGCAAGGATGAAAGCAAATCTGGCCCATGAACTGTGTGTGTGTGTCCACACAACAACCATAACAAAAAAAAAACATAATGGGTAGAAAAAAATTTCTCAGAATTCTGAATCTAGGACTAATCATCTGCTGGCACTTGGCTCTTTTTTTTTTTTTTGAGTTGGAGTCTCACTCTGTTGCCCAGACTGGAGTGCAGTGGCCGCTCCTGGCCCCCGCAGCCTTTACCTGCTGGGCTCCGGCGATCCTACCGCCTCAGCCTTCCAGGTAGCTGGAACTACAGGTGTGTGCTACCACGCCTGGCTGATTTTTGATTTATTGTAGAGATGAGGTCTCGCCAAGTTGCTGAGGTGGGTCTCGAACCCGCGGGCTCAGGCAATTCACTCACCTCAGCCTCCTAAAGCAAGGGATTACAGACTGAGCCACCGAGCCCGGCTTGGCACTTGGCTCTTAGAATTTCTTTGACAGAGCCAGGCTTGGTGGCTCATCCTGGTCATTTCTCCCAATTTACCAGGTTTTGTTGGTAAAGGGACCAACTCTAAAGCTTCCTTTATTGTTTTGCTTGATGTCTATGTCTATGGACTTTTGCCAGATATACACTGGAGTCTGTGGCCGGTGCAGTGACACACCTTAATCCCAGCACTTTGGGAGGCTGAGGTGAGTGGATTGCCTGAGCCCACAGGTTCGAGAACCGCCTGGGCAACTTGGCAAGACCTCAGCTCTACAATAATACAAAAAATTAGCCGGGCGTGGTAGCACGTGCCTGTAGTTCCAGTTACTTGGAAGGCTGAGGTGGAAGGATCGCCGGAGCCCAGCAGGTCGAGGCTGCGGTGGCTGGGAGCGGCCACTGCACTCCAGTCTGGAAGACAGAGTGAGACTCCAACTCAAAAAAAAAAAGTTCTTTGACAGGGGTGGGCAGGGAGGAAAGTCAAAACCAGGAAGGGTGGGAGAGAACATGCTCAGGCTGTGTCTCAGCAGAGCTGAGGAGCCGTGGGAAGGGACAATAACAGAGCAAGATGACCATGGTGAGCCTTGTCCTTAGAACTGCAGTCATGCCCAGCACTCCAGAGGTGGGTGCCCACCCGATAGCCAAGAAAAGCTGGAAGGAAAGCAAGCTGGGCTCTACCTGGCGCGTGTGCATACGCACGGTGACCTGGCCATACATGTTGCCCTGGTTCACCAGACTCGAACAGCGAACCTGAACCACCTGGGGCGGCTCTAAAGACTCCACGAAGCTCCAGCGCACTGTCTTGTATTTGATGTCCCAGACCATGTCCTGAGGGCAGAGGAGAACACGCTGGTTTGGGTTTGCCCTCCCTGGGGGAAGCTGGTGCCCCACACATGCTCCCACTTCCTGAAGGACCACAGCCAGCAGGCAGCACTTCCCACCAACGCTCTCTCGTGCCCACTTCCCTCTTGCCTTCCCCAGCTGTTAACTCACCTCACAACTCTCTTCATCTAACTCACACTCAAGACCCACCTTCCTCCTCAAGAACCTTCTCTAAATCAGTGGGAACCACACCCCAATAGATGAACACAGCCAGCACACTCTTCTCCCTCCCACACACGTTCATGATCTGCTAACGAGTGTGTGGACTTTTGCAAATGCATATATGTTTCTTTGCTTCTCCCTCACCTTTTAGCAATGAAAGATGGGAATTTTATAGAGACAGAAAGGCTAAACTGCTAAGACTGGATTAGTTATAGGAGGCTCAGGGGAGACTGAAAGAGTTCTACTGATATGTACTGAAGTTGTTATTCTTTTTTTTTTGGTCAGAGTCTCACTCTGATACCCAGGCTGGAGTCCATGGCACGCTTGCAGCCACTGCAGCCTCGACCTACTGGACTCGGGCAATCCTTCCACCTCAGCCTTCCAAGTAGCTGGAATCAGGGATAAGCCACCACGTCCAGCTAATTCTCTGATTTATTGTAGAGATGAGGTCTTGCCAAGTTGCCCAGGCTAGTCTGGAACCCCTGGACTCAGGCAATCCTCTCGCCTCAGCCTCCCAAAGTGCTGGGATTACAGGTGTAAGCCACCAGCCCCAGCATTGAAGTTGTTATTCTTAAATCTCTAAATGAATCAGAAAGTTTCCATCTTTGGGGATACCCCAAAGTACCTAGTACCCCTGTTACCACATGATATAAGCCTCATGAGCTCCTGTTAAGTCCTTTTAGTGTAGGCATTGGTAGGGTGGCCTAGCATAGCCCATATCCTGACCTCAGGATCCAACCCCCTGTGGTTTCAGCACTGCTTGTGGAAGGAATTTCTTTCTCCTCGTTTGCTAGGGCCCTTACCAGAGTCCATGTCAAGCCACTGTCATTCATCTCAAAAGAATGGAACTTTAACTTGTGCCTTTAAATTCCTGCACTCTCAAAACTGATCTTTCTTAAGAAAAACCAGAGGTGATGTCTAGAATCTGCCCACTCAGACATCCCACAATCCTAAGGAGAGATAACTTACTGGAAAACAGTGTTCAGTTACCAAGGTATGAAGCCGGTCATGGTCTGAGCTAGAAAAGAAAGAGATATACATCACTGACTACTGCTTTTATGATACTCTGTATGAAGGTTGAAAATAGAAAACAGCCAGGTTCGGTGGCTCAGTCTGTACTCCCATCACTTTGGGAGGTCGAGGAGAGTGGATTGCCTGAGCCCGCGGATTCGAAACCAGCCCAGGCAACTTGGTGACACCTTGTCTCTACAATAAATTTTTTTTTTAAACTTTTTTTTTTTTGAGTTGGAGTCTCACTCTGTCGCCCAGACTGGAGTGCAGTGGCCGCTCCCGGCCACCGCAGCTTCGACCTGCTGGACTCCGGCGATCCTTCCACCTCAGCCTTCCAAATAGCTGGCACTACAGGTGCACGCTACCACATCCGGCTAATTTTTTGATTTATTGTAGAGATGAGGTCTCGCCAAGTTGCCCAGGTGAGTCTTGAACCCACGGGCTCAGGCAATCCACTCACCTCAGCCTCCCAAAGGCACGGGATTATAGGCTGAGCCACCGAGCCCGGCTTACAATAAATTTTTTAAAAAAATTAGCCAGATGTGGTAGCATGCACCTGTAGTGCCAGCTATTTGGAAGGCTGAGGCAGAACAATCGCTGGAGCCCAGCAGGTCGAAGCTGGGATGGCCATGAGTGTGCCACTACACTCCAGCCTGGGTAACAGAGTGAGACTCCAACTGAAAAAAAAAAAAAAGATGGGCAAGCGACCCTCACTGGGACGCGAGGACCCATTTTTGCACTAAGCTAGTATAAGGACAAAGTCTAACACAAGTAACAAGCAAAAGCTCATCTTTTCTCCTCTTACCTCTGACATACAAGCAGTACCAACAGGATTGGCCTTGTCCCTTACACACTCATCTCTGAACTCAGTCAAAGATAATAATCTGTCTTCTCTGGTCCTTTTTCCCCTCCAACTTTGTTGTTGCCAAAGTGGCTTACTCATGCTGACTCTATACAGTAATGGTTAAAAATAAAAACCCAGCCGGGCTCGGTGGCTCCGCCTGTAATCCCGCGCCTTTGGGAAGCTGAGGTGAGTGGACTGCCTGAGCCTGCGGGTTCGAGACCCGCCTGGGCAGCAAGACCTCATCTCTACAATAAATCAAAAAATCAGCCAGGCGTGGTAGCGCATGCCTATAATTCTGGCTACTTGGAAGGCTAAGGCGGAAGGATCGCCGGAGCCCAGCAGGTCGAGGCTGCGGTGGCCAGGAGCGGCCACTGCAACTCCAGTCTGGGCAACAGAGTGAGACTCCAACTCAAAAATAAATAAATAAATAAAATAAAAACCCAGACAGCAAACCCCAGGACATAAAGATAAAAGATTTTAAGAGGGCTCCTAACTGAGGGGTCATGAATACACCTAAGACCACAGATTAGTTTCTTTCAGATACACATGCTGTTTCCCCAGTTTCATATTCTACAAGCAGTTTAACTCTATCCCCTTTGAAAAATCTTCTTCTTTAATCCCAGAGCCATTTGGGATTAATTCTAATGTGTCCACCTGCTTCCCTTGAACCTCTATTCCTTTTTTTGTTGTTTTTTTGTGAGTTGGGTTTTCACTCTGTCACCCAGGCTGTAGTACAGTGGCTCAATCACATCTCATCACAGCCTCGACTTCCTGGGCTCAGGTGGTCCCTTCCACCTCAGTGTCCCAAGTAGTTGGGACTACAGTCCTATACCTCCATGCCCAGCTAGTTTTTCTATTTTTCTGTAGAGATGAGGCCTCGCTATATTGCTCAGGCTAATCTCAAACTCCTGGGCTCAAGTGATCCTCCTGCTTTGGCCTACCAAAGTGCTGGGATTATAAGCATGAGGTACCAGACTCTTTCACCTCTAATCCTAATAGAAAAGACTCCAAATCATCTCCTCCAGTGTAGGAAAAGTCTAGACTAGACTGAGTTGTGGTGACAACTACTATGATGACCACCATGGCTGGCACCTCTAAACTCCTCCTCCTCCTCACAAACCTGGCCTAGAAGCCTTCGGTGTAAATAAATTCCTTCTTCTATGAGTTCACTTATGATTTTACAACAGAATTTACTCTAAAAAATGTAAGGAAGATGTCACTTCTGCAATATAATGGTCTGGGATAACGTAAGACTACTGCCACTGTAAGCATTTAGAAATGCTGGATACAATGTAATACCAACAAAACACATTTTCCTTTTTTTTGAGTCTGAGTCTCACTCTGTTACCCAGGCTGGAGTACAGTGGCATGCTCACAGATACCACAGCCTCTACCCACTGGGCTCAGGCAATCCTTCTGCCTCAGCCTTCCAAGTAGCTGGAACTACAGGCACGTACCACCATGCCTGGCTAATTTATTTATTGCAGAGATGAGGTCTGGCCAAGTTGCTCAGGCTGGTCTCGAACCCCTGAGTTCAGGGAATCCTCTTGCCTTGGCCTCCCCGAGTGCAGGGATTACAGGCATGAGCCACCAAGCTTGGCTCCAAACACATTATCTTTTTTTTTTTCAGGTGGAGCCTCACTCTGTCACCCAGACTGGAGTGCAGTGGCCGCTCCCAGCCACTGCAGCTTTGACCTGCTGTGCTCCGGCGATCCTTCCACCTCAGCCTTCCAAATAGCTGGAACTACAGGCGCATGCTACCACACCCGGCTAATTCTTTTTTGATTTATTGTAGAGATGAGGTCTCACCAAGTTGCCCAGGCAGGTCTCGAACCCGCAGGCTCAGGCAATTCACTCACCTCAGCCTCCCAAAGCGCGGGATTACAGGCTGAGCCACCGAGCCCGGCTCAAACCACATTTTCAAATACTCTATCCCAGTTAGCAAAAAAGAAAGTGAAATCTCCAGAGGCCAAAAAGGAAGAGGGGACTAAAAACAGAATGGAAAGAACGCACCCTGATACCATGACAGCACAAGACATGGTGAAGGGTCTTGAGCGGTGGTTCACGCCTGTAACATGCTGGCACATGCCTGAAAAACAGCTATCTGAGAGGCTGAAGTGGGAGGATCGCTTAAACTCAGAAGTTTGACACCAGCCCGGGCAACACAGCAAGACCCTGTCTCTATTAAAAAATTAAAAAATAAAAAAAGCTTTTCTTGAGTTGGAAAATAAATAAAAACTGAAAAATTAGAGCCCTATATTACACTCAGACAGGAATTTCTAAGCTAAGAAATAAACAGAAAAGTCCCGGCACGGTGGCTCATGCCTGTAATCCCAACACTTTGGGAGGCTGAGGCAAGAGAATTGCATGAACCCAGAAGTTCGAGACCAATCTGGCCAACATGGCAAGATCTCGCCTCTATAATAAGTCAGAAAATTAGACAGGTGAGGTGGAGCACACCTGTAGGCCCAGCTACTTGGAAGGCTGAGG